AAATTTTACTAATAGAAGGTAGATTGACAGAAGGATTTGATCCATATAATAATATTTTATGAGTTTTTTGAATTTTCGTTCGTTTTAAGCAAACAAATCTTCAGCTTATTTATAAAAATTAGAAGATTCAGTTGCTCGATTAGAAAAACTCATTAAAAGTTTTAAAAGTACCCTTAAATTCTGTCTCACGAAAAATTCTTCAGTAGGGTTCGATTTGAAAAATCCTGATCGATCGGGTTCGGGTGGGGTCCAACAAATTTTAATCACCTGGGTCCGGATCCAGAAATTCTTGGACTCGATGGGCTCTAATGTTTGGTGTGGGTGCTATAAAAGAAAACCTTCACCCAAACCCACATCTTCAACAGTTTCACTTGTATCCATCTCGTCGTCAAAAACATTAGTTGGCATATCAACCGTTTCCACCACCGTTGCGAGTTTTAAACCAAATTAGTAATAATAGTTTTGGTAAATTAAAATTCAACTTATTTATATAAGGATAGACAAAAGAGAAAAAGGGGAACGACGCCGAGAATCGTCTTCTCCATTGTTTAATGAAGAACAAGAGAAGAATGCAATATATTCTTTGTATATGACTAGGTCTGTAACAGTTCTTGAGCGGAGAACGAGAACTGATATCAGTCATCAGTTCATTTGAAAAGAACTCGAGCTAGTCACCAGTTTTTTTGAAAATAACTGGATATTTAAATCAGCTTTTTCTAACGAACTGTGTATGTTAATCAGTTTTTTTTCACAACTGGAATAAAAACTATGTAAAATTGCTGAATCGTAACAATGAAAACAATGAGCCTGCTTGGAAAAGCAATTAATTGAGACAAGTTCTTTAAAAAAGAACCAATTCTTAAAACTGTGAGCTACTGCAAGCCTATATATAACTTAAAATATCGAACAACTATAATAAAATATAAAAAGTACGTCAAGAAAAGATGACATCGATAAGTAGGACAATATATGTATATGATTATCGAGGGAAACTATGTAACATAAGTATCTTTTGCCTGATGACGTCATCATCAGTCATGTGGACAAATGTTCTTCTATTTACATCAAAATATTTTCATCGAATAAATAGGTGGTTACTGATAAAAATACTACTTTTTACTGAGCAAATGTATTTTTGAAACAGCAAACTTAATTAATTACTGAAACTTTAATTTTAATACTGAGCAAACAATTAGTTAACTGAACAATTGTAATAGTTACTGAACATTAAATTATACACTGACAGTTTGATTTCCTTACTGAAAATTTGTATATAATACTGAACAAATTTTACTGAACATTTAATTTGTCGCCCTTTTTTTTTTTACTTTACGTATTTCATATTAGTAAAATGAATATAAAGAAAGCATTTGAGCTCTACGTTTTAGCCTTGAAAGATTTGTACTTTTTAATTTAATTTTTTTTCAAGCTCTGTATCCATTAAATGCTGCTGATTATCCAAAACAAGTTTTACCTGATTTACATTTAATCAAAATTTTTCGTGATATTGAGTTATTAAAAGAAAATTGTGAACAGCGTAATTTAGTCCTTGATATAAATCAACTTGCATCAGATTATCAACGTTGGCAAAGACATAAAAAAGAATATAGACGTTTACGTGATCTTCATCATATACAAGAAAAATTACGTGAAGAAAGAAAACAAACAAATGATTTAACAATGACTGATATTAATGAAATAGATACAAGTAAAACGAAAAAGCGTAAGAAAAAAATTCAATCAGACAGCAATACATCAAATGAAGGAACATCAAAATTATCAGCAGAAGATCTGTAAGTATTTATTAATTGAAATTTTCAACTTTCTATTCTATTAAAAATTTATCTTTCAAATTTTTTTTTTTTAATGAAATCTATACTTATGATATTTGAGTGTTTTATTAGATTGAAGATATAGTCTTTTAGGAAACGAGTAAAGCATTATTCCCAGTATAGAGTAATTCATCTCTCAAAGAAGTCTTGTTTTTCACATGTTTCTTGTTGTTTTATATATAAAAGATTCGTTTCAATTTCAAATACGAAGTGACATAAAAATTAATGAAAAAGATTTAATTTAATGATGTATATAATCATTTCTTCTTAAGATAATGTCGAGTTTCAATTAGAATTTAATGTTAAAAGACAATAACTCGAACATATCGGATAAATGTTCACCAATATTAGTTTAACAGGCAAACTTAAGTAAATATTCCATTTTGTTTTTATATTCAATATCTTTCATTAGATAATAACAGTCAGTCAAAAATTTTGTATGAATTTTATTTTTATTATAACATTACAATTAGAGATGTCAAGGCCCAAACTTTTTGGTTTCGATCTAGAGAAAACTAATCGAACATTTATTCGTATCACGTTTTAAAATTTAGTCCCACACATCTCTAGTTGCAATGCAATTTCATAGAGACTTGGTTGTTCTTTTGTTCGAAAGAAAAAAATGTCTAGTGCAAAATAAAATAAAAGAATTTCTTCGGAATTTTTTTCTGAAGATTAAGAAAAATCTTAGAGCAAAAGGTGTTCTTTTTATTCTTCTTATTCATGTTTCATAACGTAAGGATATAGGATTATTCCTCTACCAAAAAAAAAAAACACCAAATATTCTACGCATTCTACAACGGTCTATATGGACGCTATGATAACATCTTCTGGTATTGCCGGTTTTCTATAACTAATAATCACAGTTAAATAACTAAATTCTACTGTGAAATAGAACCTGTTCGATATTATATATTTTATATGAAAAAGGAAGCCCTATCAAATTCTTTGCTAAACGATATTATTTGGAGTAGGATACAATTTCTTTGTGAGATATTCAAACAAAACTTTGCTTTCCTGTTGTATATCTCGACTGGAATGTTTGATTAAACTAAATGTGATTCAGTCTCCATATACACTAGATCAATTATTTTAATATCACATGAGAACTAACGTTCTAAAAGACTAATAATATATGTATATGATGCTGGAAAACATCAAAAACTGATCATGAATAAGGCCTAATAGAAAAATCTCGGACCGAAGTTTCAGAAGAGTTTCATAACACCTTTTAGTTCTACGGTTTTTGTATCCTTCGAAAAACACTTCTGATCAAATTCTTTAAAACATTTTTGCATTCAATATTTTGTTATTTTCTAACAAAAAAAAAGAATCAAGTTTGTACATATGATATTACATTGTAATGCAATATCAAAAACAAAATTAATGCCGAAATTTTTTCTCTACTCGTTATAGCCCGTCGGGTCCGGCTCCAAAAACTTTTGGATCCGATGAGTCTAGTCATCTGCGGAATGTGCTGGGTGCTCCAGCGACTGAATAAAGAAAAAAAAAAAACGGAAAAGGTATGTCGTACTTTCAAGATGGCTATCTAAATTAGATTAATAAATTTCATTGAGAGTATCAAAATACAGCTTGTTAAATTAAATATATTTATGATCTTTTCTCCCTTTTTTTTTTAATTCTTAAGCGAAATTCTTGATGCATCTGAAGTGATTTCAAGTGTTGATAATGCTTGGATTCAATCTATAGCTAGTTCATCATCATTAACAAATGATTCTGCATATGCACGTGGTGAAGCCATAATGAATGATAATGAATTTAATTCTTTAAAACAACATTTTGAACAATTTCGTCAAAAATTTCGTTTATTTGATCAACGTTTTATTGTTGCATGTCTTCATTTACCAGCTGCACAACATATTGCTGTACCAGCTAAACCATCCGATGGTTTAATAATATATGAATCATCAATACCTATTGTTAAACATGCATTTAATTCCAAAACATGGCATGAATTATGTCATGTTGAAAAAAGTGATGTTTCAAAATTCGGACCATATTGGCTTGGTAAAGCACCATTACATAAACATGACTTAGTTCATTCTATATGTACAGATTTAACGAGATTAGGCTTTCAAGAAATGTCATCAATAAGTATGGCTAAACCATTTGTTTATGAAGCATTAGGTGCTAATATAAATGAAAGTCGTCATGTTTTAACAACATTTGAAAGTGCAGATGATCCACGTTCACGTTCATTAATAACATCAGGTTTAGGTTCATTAGCATCTCTAATTGTACCATTTGTACGTCGAACATTTTTACAAACAGATTTACCATATTATGTATTTACACAAGGTGCAACATATGATGTTAGACATGAACAAACATATAAAATTCAATTATTAACAATGACTAATGTACGTGATACACATTTAAAAAATTTTGATGATCCATTATTATATAAAGAAACAACAGATTTACATTTAAATTCACCAAATGCATCAATTGAACGTGAAAATGAATATAATTTCAATTTAAAAACTAGTTTATTGAATAAAAATCCTTATCGTTTTAAAAAAACATCTAGTTTAGATGAACTTTTTATTGAATTAACGCGTTTAATGTATAATTTATATGATAAATTTCGTTTACCATTTCGTATTATTAATTGTTCATCTGATAAATTACGTTCATATGAATCAATGAGACTTGATTATGAAGTATTTTTACCAAGTTCAAATGCATATGTACGTGTTGGAAGTATATCATTAATTGGTGAATATTTAAGTAGACGTTTAATGATTCGACATAAAAAAGTAAAAGATGATAAAAATGTTAATATTAAAGAAAAATTTACTCCTGAAAATGATTTACCAAGAGAAACAAAATTTAATTATGTACAACTTATACATGTACAAGTTGTTGATGTTGATTTGTTAACTAAATGTTATGTTGAAAAGGAGCAAAAAGGTTTTTCAAAAGAAAATAAATCATAAACTGAAATAAAGAAAAATGTTCATTTGTTCGTTTTTTTTTCATTTAGTCGTAGTTTTCTTTCTTCTGATTGTATAAACTTGAATAAACATTCTAAATGTTTAAAATATTTGTTTGTTTTTTCTGTTGGAGATTTATGTGAAAATATCAAATTTCATTAATTTTTATCAAAGTTTTCAAGATATTATTTATGTTTATTATTAACAAATGAAAACATGAATAATTTATTAGATTTATTTAATCATATTCAACAAGATTTAATTAAAAAACAAAAATTATTTGAAATCGAACGAGAAGATGCACATAATTCAATTAATCAAGCATTTAATAAAATATTTGAGCAATTGATTGAAATTCGACGATTTTGTCGAAATGATATTGAACAACAAACATTAAATGCACAAGTATGTTTTAAAATCATATCAAATTTTATTAAAGAAAAGAAAAACAGAAAATGAGCTAGATACATTATAAGTAGAATTTATTTCGAACGCAATAGAACATCATCTGAAGTTTTATTCATATCTTTTCTCAATGTTGGATTTTTTTCATGGTCTTAACTAGTGGTGTAACCAAGGGTGGACTAAGCTGGACGTCACCCTACTACAAGAAAAAAGAAAAATGTAATAATTACCACCATTGACACTCTATTACAAGGACTTCTCTCAAGATCGTAGAACACTGTCCTACTACGCATGATGTCTTGGTTACGCTACTAGTCTTAACTTCCTGTTTCATCGATGAGTTTTCAAATGAATAACTTTTGTCTTTTGTAAAAATTCATGTTTGATCAAACTTTCGAAACGTTTAAGTTAAAGCATGATTATATATAATTATCATGGAATAAACTTGATCTTATGTTTTATTAATGAGATACACTCTGCTCGAACTCCTATTTCTCATAAGTAGTACTATGTGAAACTAGAAGGAGCCTAACAGGATTCGTCTCATTAGGCCTTCCGTTTAGTTAAACGATCATAACTCAAGAAGAAAATTCTAATGGACCGAATCGTTTGAAGCTGCTTCTAGACTCATAGAGTTCTATTCATTGGAGAATATATGAACTTGGACAGAAGATATCAATTGGAAATCTTGCATTAAGATTGTTTCTCTGGATCTATTTTATCGATAATCGAAATAAAGTTTTTTTGTTCAAAAAGAATTTAATAATCAAACTACAACTAATACAAAAACATTCGTATAGATTTCGATGTTTTGATTTAATCAATAATTTTTTACTCTATTAATTTCTTAAAATTTAGATTGAATTACAACAAATGCTTGACGCTATACATTATATGCAAACAAAATGTCTTATGTATCATGGAAATACATCCGAAACATTTGATTTATTTTCAACTGAAGTAGAAAAATGTACTGAACGATTGTCAAAAGTTGTTCTTTCACCTGCACGTGATCTTGATAATTTATTATCGTATTTAACAGCATCATTTTCTTCAATATCTTCAAATTATCTACCAGAAACGCCAATATCATCATCATTAGAACCTATATCAAATCAAATTATTAAAATAAATCCTAATGTTTCATCATCAACAGGAACAATTGATTCAGGCAAAAATAGTGATCATAGTTGTAATAATAGTATTGGTGTATTAAATGTTAATAACTTAAGTAACTTTAAATTTGGTCAAAGTATTATATTAGCTTATCCATGTGATATGATTGCATCAAATGGACGTACTATACTTTCATATGTTATTGAAAAAAATTTTCTTAATTATTCAACTGTATCTGGTATTAATTTATCAAGTATTAAGGTTTATCGTTTATTAGCACCAATAACAGCAAATAATACTCGACTTTGGGATATAACTTGGTGTCCGTGGAGTAAATTTTATCTTATGTAAGTTATTTGCAGAATAGATCAAATTAATTTTATTTTTTGTTTTAAATGTAAACTTTAAGGTTTTTTTTAAATTTATTTTATATCCAGATAATATTTTCTATTATCGTTTGAATTGTTTAGCAAAAATATTTATCTCCTAGAATATTCCAAAAATAGTGCAATACTGCTAGTGAATATTGATTTTTTTCTAAACAAATATTACATAACTGATCAAAAATATAAGAATCATGTATTTTTTTCTTTTTTTTTTTCTACGATACTAAGCATTTAACTCAAATCCGAATAGTTATTTGAGTACTCAACGAAGTTCTCAAACATGTCCATTTAATATCAAAATTTCATAGATGAATGTAGGAAGAAGATTTATGAAACACTAAACACAATAGTTAAGATTGTGTGAAATTTAAAGAGTACAAAATTTTGCAACAAAAATTAAATGTTACCGCATTTCCTACGAGCTTTCCTTAAAAAATTATGAGCATAACAAAAAATGAGAAAAAACGAAATTTATCATAGCATTGCTAAAAAAAAGTATTTTTTGTGATGTTAAGAAAGTTTTACAGGAAAGTCATAGGAAATACGACAACCTCTTATTTTATTCAAGATTTCGTCCTTTTTACGATGGTACTATTAAAAATCAATTTTCACACAATATACACCGGTCTTATATTTTTGCTCAATACTGTAATTCTCTGATGAGTTTAATACATTCGAATTCTGAGGGATAAACTATTTTTTGGATTTGAAATTCTGCTTTTGATTAAAGAAATCATTAAAAATAAAACTGTTAACGTATTATCTAATTTCCATTTCTCTAGATAATAAAAGATAGAAAAAGTCAGCATTAAAACTACAAATAAAATATCTATGAAATTCAATTAACATCAAAATAATTCTTGAGTATTTATTCATACATTCAATTCTATGATGCCATAATTATCTTTGAATTCATTGAAGTTTTATATTATTTCTCTATAGATATATGCCTAATCTATAAGACTAATGAGTAAACAAATTTCACATATTGAAAATCAACATTTTTGGTTACAGTTTTGTCATACAATCTAATCTTGCAAAAGACAATTTTTATAGAAAGCTGATTCATCATTCGAATATTTATTTATAGGAATCCAGTGGCTCTTTTATATAAGTCAGATAGTCAAAAATATATCAACAATAATAAGTCTAAAACATCTCTGTATTTAGTATACTTTTACCACGGAAACTAATTACCTCAAAAAATATTCAATTGAGTGATTGACTCGTAAACAGTATTACTAATTTTCTATTGCAAAGTTATACTATATTAAATGTAGATCTTAAATCATGCAAAGTGATCAGATAGTAAATTTTTATTTCAGTTTTTACGTTGTATCATTCAGTACATAATGATGTGCAGGAATTTTAATTTTCTTGAAATAGGAATTTACTACACACTCGTACAACTTTAGTGTAATTGCGAATAGATATTTTTTTTTGTCAATATTTCATTATATATCTATTTTGATTTCTTTAGTTTTTTATGATCATCTATTTTAGTGTGGGTAATTTAGGTCTTTATTCACTTTGTTATCCATATGATACAAATCCATATACAAATGAACATTTACCACAAGTAAATAAATTAATTAGTTTTCGTGGTTTATCATTTCAACATGTACGTATATCATCACATTTAAATGGTTGGTATATTTATATGGTTGAACATCAAAGTGTGTCAATTGATTTATATGATCGCCGATCAGGTCAACGTTTACATCATTATGATAATCATAATCAACATGATTTAATTCCACTTGGTTTTCATGGTTTTTGTTTAAATAAAAAATTATTTGCTATTGTTAAAAAAACCGAAGTTCTATCAACAATAAATAATCCACATCAAACAAAAAATGAACAAAATATTCAAGTTTATTTTTTTGATCTTGAAACAATGTTGTGTATACAACAAATGTCATTATATCATTGTTCAAATGTTTATGATATAAAATGTTGTTATGAAGAAAATATCTTTATGATACTTGCTGAACCTATGCAACTTATTCTTATTAATTTAGATACAAATGAATTAATAAGAAAAAAATTATTAGATGAAGGAAAACATTTATGTGTTATTAATGATCATGAAGTATTTATTCTACGTTCAGAATGTTCTATTCAAACACTTCAATATCGAAATAGTAAATAAGATTTTGTTAAATATAAAGAAAAATAGCTAGTCGTTTATTTTGTTTATTTGTTACTGTTATTTGTTTTGAAAATATTTCTAGAGGATCTTTTTGTTTTCGTTATTGTCTTTTTTTTCTTTTTTGAACAGTTTGTTATTATAAGTAAAACGAATGCGAAAGTAAACATATCTTTTTTTTTTAATTTTGTATTTGAGTTGTCGAGTTTTTAAAATCAAATCAAGACAAATTTTAATTCTTCTGGATGCAGTCAGTAATGTATTTGATTTCTTGGAATTTTCATTTGTTTTTTTCATGAGTAATGATAATAACTTATTTTAATGATCCTTTGTATGGCAGATATATTGTTTTGTAATCTTTATCATCTTATGAAGGATTTCATCGGACTAATAATCTTTGCTTGAGCTCATATTTTTCTCATAGGTAGGACTCATAGTTTAGATAAAAACTCTGAAATGGTTCATGCCATCGGACCTTTATTCTCGAGGAGTTATGGTCATTGTACTAAACTTCCAATCTTTTGCAGAATATCACGAGAAAAATCACCATCGGGAGTTCCGATCTGAAATTCTTTCCAACAATAGCTCTCATGATCCTTATGTTATTCTGAAGTTTCAACTCAAACGGATGTTTCTCTTCTGAGATAATATGTTAGCAAAAAACGTTCGTTTTACATAAGCGCACCAAGAATAGGCCAGTTTTTAATCATACGATATCTTAAGAAAAAATTATCTGGTTGACTTGAAACATTCAGAATACCATAAGGACCATGAGAGGTATTGTTAGGAAGAATTTCCGATGGAAACTTCTTATTACAATTTTTCTCGTGACATCCTGCAAAAGGCTGAGAGTTCACTAAAATGAACATAGCTCGAGAAGAAAGATCTAATGATACGAATACTTTCAAGATTTTTATCTATCCTATGAGCCCTAGCCATGAGCTCAAACTAAGATTATTAGTCCAATTGGGTTCCCTTGTTAGTTAGTCCCAGAGAATTGGAGTCTGGTTCCTGTAGTTTGTATTTCTATAGACACTACTGGTTTTATTCAACAGCACATCATTGGCTTCATTAATGCTTTAATATATTAGTTGAAATCAATAAATACTACCATATTCAGTATCATTGAAACGAAAACAATGAGTAACTAATGATATTCTAAGAGAATAATCCATGAAAGAATAGTTGATTTCGAAAGTTGAAATCATTACAATCTCTGATATCACTTGGAATCATTTGGAATAAATAAAAACATGAAATCAAGTGTTTACAAGAGAATAGCAACTGATTTCCATGATCAGAACCAATATGGAATCATTCAAAATCATGAAATTGGCTATTTTTTTTTCGCTGATAAATAGAGTGCTGCGTCAGACTTCGAAATCTGATTCCAGTAGGATTAAATCGATAAAAAAATCAAGCAATTCTACTCTTACATAGTAACAACTTTCTTCTTTATATGTTAAGTATTGAACAAAAAGAGACTAATTTATAGATTCATAAATGAATTTCAAGAAAAAAACACCATAGAGATATTCTCATTAACAAGTAACAAAAAAATATATGTGGTAGTCAAAAAAGACTTTGAAAGTTTATCGGAGTCAAAAATTATTGATAAAGCAAAGTTCATTTCTAAATAAATCTATTTGCTTTAATTAATGTGAAATTTAAGTAGCTTTAGGTAATTCTAAATAACATCGATTGATTCTGCTGACTAATCCCAAGTGATTTTATTGAGTTCGAATGAGTTCAATGCAATAACATCAATTGTTTGTCCCGAGACTCTCGTCAATACGTCGTTTATTTTTAGTGAATTAGTCAATGAAGATCCGTTCGTTGTTTACAACAAAATTTTTAAGAAGAGTTATCTTTTATATGATAAGAATCATTTGTTGTTTGCATCAGGATTCTCGATTGTGGAGAATAGGACTCTTCCCACTCCAAAATGTTCGACTTTCTACGAAAATGCATAATAACGTCTGCCAATTATTTATATTCTCGTCGTAAGTTTGGATAGAAGTCCGATTTTAAAACACCAGTGACCTTTCTCTAGCAGAAAGTGAAATACAAATCAGCAGGCAAAGTCTTTACGAGATAACTACGATTCGCAGAGGGAGGGTCTACTGGTAGGTCGTCTGTTGTGAGAGTAGTCAGGTCACAATAGGTTTTGTTCTTTTGTCAATTCCAGTGGCCACTTGTAGCACTCCGAGAATGAAAGCACTTTCTACCGAAGTTTTACCTTCTCCCATCTCTAAAAAATATCAAAAACTCTGCCCTACGTGAATAATAGCTCTGGTAAAACTTCATAGATTTTTTTCTTTTAATATTTTGTCTCTAATAATTAAAATGTGAAATTAATGCAATAAATATTTCTTTAAAATTTTCTATCGCAGATATTTTCTAGATAATATACTTATTGCAATGTCAGATATCTTAACATCTTATTCATCATATACAATTGATAATCGGAATGATAATGATAGTTTTGAAGAGTTTTTAACAAAACTTACTCGATTTGGTATTGATCAATGTTTACATTTGGCACATTTAATTGTTAACAAACAACGATTATTTCAAAATTATTCTACACTTGATCATAAATATAAAATCTCTCAAGATAAACAAGTAATAAATTTTTTTTTCTATTAAAAAGAAAAAAGTTAAAATTTATATTTAATATATAAATACTAGATTGATTTGAATGATCTTTTATTGGAAATACAAACATTACAAAATGAATTTTATAATGTATTATTAACTATATCATCATCAAATGATGAGAAAAAGCAACTATTATTTATTAAATTACAAAATTATCTATCAAATTTTGTTGAAATTAATTTAAGTTTTAAATCATATGAAATTTCTACTAAAGAAATTCATTCGAATGACTCAAAACAATCAATAAATACATTTGAATTATTAACAAAAAAATTTGATGAAACTTTATCAACAATATCTTGCTTATCTAAAAAACCATCAATAATATTATCATCTTCATTTTTTTCAGTTGATGATATTAATAATAATATTGATATAGGAAAAAATTGGAAATTTGCAAATATAATTCATACACGTTTTCAAATGTCTTTAATTGCATCCGATTCACATATAATCATATGCTATAATAATCGTAATGATTTTCTTCATTTTCTTCATATTAATGGACAATTTCAAGGAAATATTAAATGGAAATATGAACTTATTATTGATATTCATTGGTAAAATTTTCATAAAGAAAAGGAAAAGGAATTTTTATGATATATTTAGGTGTTCATTTATGAACCGATACATAGCTGTAACACATAATTCGATTTATAGTATTGAATATAATAAATCAAAATTATCACCATCAAATTCAATAATTGTTGAAAAAGTTCTTGAATTAGAAAAATGTAATTCTGCTCGAATTACTTGTAATGAAAATAAGATTTTACTTTATACAAATTATCAACAAAAAAGTGTAATTCAAATTTATGATAATCAATTCAAAAATGAAAAAACATTTAATAGTTTAATCAACAAACAATTACCGGTAGATTAGTTTGTTTTAGTTTATTATTAAAGTGTTTTTTTAATATTTTATAGATTATAAAAGAGTTACTGTTCATTACATTAAGAAATATTTTACAAGGCCTAAAAGAAGGCCATAGATGTTCTAAAAGTGTTTTCCAGAAATTCAGTTGATTTTAACATTTACGACCTAGTTTTTGAGCAAAATATCATTGTTATAAATTACAGGGTATTCCAAAAGTCTCAGCAAAAAAAATCGTCAATAGTTCTTTGGCAGTTCAAGAGGCTTGAATACTTTTTTTCTAAAGTTTAATCATATATTCATCAACATTTTATTCATCAGTATTGTAAAATAAAGTAATTAAAAATTGAATTTAGAAAAAAGACGTCAACTAAACATTGCATTAGCAACATATTCAAGCAGTTTTATAAAGTTAGTACTATTGAAAATCGATAACATTCTAAAAGACTGTAAAGTATTCTTCGTAGAAGTATCTGGTACAGCTTTAATAAGAGATGTTTCATCATAAACCGATATGTTATTGTTGATGGTAATAAGTAAGTTTGTGAAAAAGATCGAATACTTGATATTGGCTCATTTTCACAAATACTCTTAACATCATTAATTTTTTTCTTCAGTAATTGCTGTAAGTCTTCTAGAACATCATCTATGTTCGATAGTACCAGCTTCACAAAAGCGTTGAAATATGGTTCTAATACAGAACACTCAATTGACGTGTTTCTGTCAAAGTCGACTTGCAGCTTTCGTTTTTACAATAGTAAATGACTCGAATTTGGGGATCATTAAAATTATTCTACTTCCGACTTCTTTAATTGCAGACATTTTATCTGAAAAGTATTGAATAAACTTTCATAAATATGTGATCAAATTGTAAAAAAAGTATTTAAATCCCTTGAAATGCTGAAGAGCTATTCATGGTTTGTTTTCCTTCGTCCTTTTAGAACACTATGTATATTTGGATGCATTGTAGAACAGTGTTTATCAAATTCACGTGTATCGAGAGAAAAACAATAGTGCGGAGCTTCGTAAAATAAAGTAAAGTTCTATATATTTTGTTGAAATCATTTTTTGTTTTGGATTCATAAATATTTTAACGAAGAAAAATAAACAATTCTGAAGCTATTTTTTTTTTCGTTCCATAGTAAAATACATAACATCTTCCATAGATGAGAAACACTTCAAAAGTCCTGACGATATTCATTTAAGAGAGGTTTTACTGTAAAAAGAATTCTTGATGAAATTAAAAAAGGAAATTTTATGTTTCTAAATTGTTTTTCTATTTAGATTAATAGTCATTCATTTTGTTGTACAAATACATTAATTGGTTTAACAGAAAAAGATGAAATACTTATATCATATTTTCCATATATAACTCCAAAAAAAGTTTCCTTACTTCTATTTGATATTGATACATTTGAGTTACGTTATACAATTGATTTAAATGATTGTTCAAATATATATACAATGAAATGTCTTGAAAAACATAATATATTCTTTGGTCTTAGTGCTGAAAAAATTCTATGGATTATTAAAATTAATAATAATGAAACAATACAAATTGCAAAAAAAACTTTCTATACAAATCAAACAGAAGTAAAAAGAAAATATATTTATTCATGGAGATTTTTTTATTAAAAAAAGAATTTAAATTATTGTAGATGTGTATTGTTAACAATCAAGATTTATTATTGATAAATGTTAATACTGGTTATGCTATTCAATTGATCAAATATCGTAAAATAAAACAGTAGTCATTTCTAGTCTTGTTTATTTTTTGTTTTATAGTTATTGAAAAAAAGATATTATATTTATGAAAATAAAAAAAAAGTCTTTATAGTCAAAACAAATATTACGATTATTTTTATTTGAGTTGAATACAAAGAAAATCATATTGTTATTTTTTTCGTTCTGTCATTATTGTTTGTCATGCGTAACGAAAAGAGGAACTGTATCGAATAACCTCGAAATATGTTTACTCAGATCACATAATAATAAAAAGAATATTGACTTATGAATGAGCTAGATGCTAATTATGGTAAGTTATTTTTTTTATTTTTAGATTTTGAAAAATTTCAATAGAATAATGATTAGATTATTATTGATAACTCTAGTCATTTCCAAAATTAATGGAGATGATAAAAGAATATATTCAGCTATAGAAAATACTCGACCAATTATTGGTAAAATTATCAAAATGATTCTATAGACAAATATGATTTTATTGATATGATTAAGGAATTTTAACTCAACCTACTCCATCAACATGGCAAAAACCAAATCGTACTACTTATTTAGCAGCATCTTATGTTAAATATATTGAAGCAACTGGTGCTCAAGTTGTACCTATTCGGTAAACCATTAAAATAAAAACAAAGACATGTGAATGATAATTTGTTTTTCTTTGTAATTTTATAGAATGTATCAATCAATAGATTATTATTTACATTTATTTAATTCACTAAATGGGTTTGCTAACAAATAAAACGATGCAAGGATTCTTTTTTTTTTATTATATTGTTTTTCTTTTAGAGTACTCTTTCCAGGCGGAGATTTTAGTAATGAATATCTTTATGTTGCGAAACTTTTTCATATGTGGACATTAAAGGTAAATTAAAAGAAAAATTGTTTTTTTGTTTAATTTATATCAGTTGTTCTTTTAATGTTTTTATGAATTCGATGAAGTACAAAGAAGTTTTCCTATATGGGGAACATGTCTTGGTTTTGAAGTGTTACTTATGTTAACAAAATGTTCAACTGATATTTTCGAACCATGTAGAGGATATGATTATGCAACAGAACTTACTTTTATGCCAGGTATTGAACTTAATATTTAGTTTTTATTAATTTTTTTTATTGTTTTTTACAAATAGATGCAACTGATAGTCGATTGTTGGGAAGATCATTACCAATTAATATAAGAAATGCTTTACAAAATGAGCCAACAACAGCAAATTTTCACGTTTTTTGTATGCGACCAGAAGTAAAAACTTCTTCTGATTCGAATTTATTATTTATAATTATATATTTCTATTAATATAGAATTTCTCAGCTGATCCTATATTATCAACATTTTATAAAATGTTAACCGTAAGCCCTGATTTGGAAGGCCGAACTTTTGTTTCAACTATTGAAAGTAAATATTATTTATCATACGATTTAACTTTAACAATATATAATAATGTTTCTAAAAACAATATATTTACCTCTGTCGTACAACTGTCAGTATAAAGCGTATCGCATAAGTACCGACCTTAGACTGCCAGTCGGAAAACAAGTATCGGTATACCGAAGTAGAATAGCAGTCAGAAGATAGCTGATCGTTTAAGATTACAGTTCCCCTTCTTTTTTGACTTCAAAAGCACGATTCCGAGTTAGGCATAAAATATGATAGCATCAACTACTTTGTGTACGTAGAGACATCATTCGGCTCTAAACATCTTACTCTTACAGAATTATTCAATTTAAGACACTTGTTTTTTCATAGTAATCATATTGAAATTCTTTTCTTTTACTTAGTGTAGCGTAACCAGTTTTCTCAATTCTGGTCGCTTACGGCTTTTCTCTAGCATTGCCGAATCAGGGTGAAATTTTTACTATAGATACGTGTAAGTATCTTCGAGAGATAAAATCGAGCCTTTTCATTTTTGACTTTCCTATTGGAATTTATAAGATTCTCAAAATCAATACTCTGACTTTGACTACGAACATTTACGTATTTCTCTCATAGAAAGCAATGTATCAGGATGCAGTCCTATGAAACATTAGAGTTTTTCAGAAAGCTTCCTTGAAAAATTTGTCCTAAACATCTTTTTCTTTACTTCAAGTATTCTATCTATGGTAAAAATTACAATCTGATCGGTTGTATCCTCTTTGAAAATCAGAAAGAGTCAAAAAAGAGGGAAGAAAGGAGGGAATCCTTCAGTATTAAACTACCGCCGGTATAGCACAAATAACACCAAACTGTCTACTGACAGATTCTGTTTGGTTTGAATCACACGGATAGCTTGATTCTATTTTATTCGATAGGATCATTGCATTGAAACTGAACAATGTCAAAAATTTAATTTTACTTGAAATTAAAAGAAAACAAAAGATATTAAAAGTAATAATTTCTATTTCAATTTATTTAGGTCGTCGTTATCCAATTTTTGGCGTTCAATGGCATCCAGAAAAGAATGGATTTGAATGGCGAGTAAATACAACAATACCTCATACAAAAAATTCAGTAGAAGTAATGCAATATATGGCAAATTTTTTCACTGATCAAGCACGTCATAATACGAATCATTTTGACTCATTACAAGATGAATTAAAATATCTCATATATCAATATACACCAGAATTTTACGATTTAGATAAATCACATTTTCAACAAGTTTATTTTTTTTCTGAATGAAATTTAGTTTTGTTTTTTCTTCTTTCTTTACTTTCAAATAAAAATAAAGTAAAATAAATATTTTAATATTTTAATTGTTGAAGAAATTGATCACTTGTTCGATAAAATCGAATATTTTTACTTATTTTTAATGGCCATGTTACAAAACGATAATAACCGTTCATCATATTTGGACATGCTCTTTCAAATGGTTGCATTGATATCCACCATGGTGTCAAAAGTAATGCTATAGGCATTATAAATAATAATAATATAATGAAAAGTACAATTCGTAATATCCAAACACTGATACTAGTCATTGATTGATTTAAACTATTAGATGAACTAGTTGATTTACGACCACTAGAATGTCTCAGTGAATCAGTAGAATCGATACGATTAGACATTGTAAATATTTTTATAAATAATGGCGCATTATTTTGTTTTTTGTTTTCATTTTTCATTCTAACTTTGAATTCAAGTTTGATTATTCTATAAAAATGGTCAGTCATTTAATAAAACGAGATGAATAAGAAAAAAAAGCATTCAATTTAGATTGAAAATAATGATGATATACTTGAATTTCCTTTACGATTAAGTAAAACATGTTTATTAAGTATACGTGATGATAATACATTTATTTCACCAATAGCAATTCAAGCTGCATTTTATGCATTATCATCTAATAATAAACAATTAAACAAGAATTTTAATAAAAAATTTCCATTTAATTTTTATAATTATTTTATTCTTAATCAAGATTCTATTAAAACATTTCATCAAAATCATAATGTAAGTTTTAAAGAAAAAAAAAACAAAATTAAAAGAAATCTATTAGGAAGAAACAATCGAATATTTTAATACAGAATTTCAAATTCATAATTTAAATGATATAGAACAAAGAAAATTTCTGTTAAATCAAATTATGAAGCATTTGACTGATAAATCATTAATATCAATTGTACCATCACAAAAAGTTCTTGAACAAATTCTTGTTGAACCAATGACTTTATTATCATGTTGTTCATTTGTTTTTCGACCATTTAAAATTGAACATTGGGAGCAACTTTGGTAAAAAACAAGTTATATTTAAAATAAACCAGCAGTACTTAGATTTCAGAGAAAGAAAACTTCTGAAATTATTAACACATGGGATCGGTCATTAATAAAAAATTTCGTTAATTACCAGGTCTCGAAATCAAACTACTTTTTAATAGTTCGGCTCGGTCTGATCAGAACACTGTCAAAAGATTCTTATCATAGTGACTACAGATTGGATAAGGTCAGATAATATTAACGCTTAGAAAAAACAATATGAAAGATAAGTCGAATTATTTATTGAACTGAAAGAGCAAGATGCGTTGGTAGATACTTCAACTTCTTCAAGACTATCATTTATTAACATAAGATTTCACGAGTAAAATACTTGTTGATCAATTTCAAACCTTCATATTGGTTACTATTTTTAGTTACATAGTTGACAGTGTTCCACTTTACTAACACTTATGTCAATTAATTCAGTTGATAGTCCACTCGATCATGCATGTGAACGAAGCATGGGATAAAACCAAATAAATGCTTTGTTCTTATTTATTGACTAAATGAAATTTTCAAAATGTTTCCATAATAAACATTTCTGATTGCTACCAGTTGTGAGACCCAATACCCATTTATAAAAATTTGAGGAAAAATGAGAATAAATCGCTTCTGACTAAAATCTGATCTTTCAGCTTTAAAGATAGATTCAATATACAAGAGAGATCACAAAAGAACAGTTATATAAAAAGGAAGCTTTAAAAGTTTCGAAAAATAACAAGTATATATTGAAATTTCTCAGTAATATCTGAAGTCTATAATACAATTTTCTCTGAGTTTTCTTGTTATGATTGAATAGTTTCCAAAATTTCTTGGATAATTTTTTCTTATGAATCGGTAATTAGGACACTTCCTTTGAGATTATCTTCTCATATGTTAATAGTTTCGGAAATTTTCTTTTTTTTTCGGAAGTCTGATCATACTTCCAAATAAAACAGCTAATTAAATATGTGTTGTTTTTGTTTTAATTGAATTTAGGTCATTAAAATTCCATTCAAATATTCATTTATCAATTGAAACAGAATTCTATTTTACAAAAGGTTTTTTCCATGTTGCTTTTCATGATACATTTCATAAAATTGAAATACCTGGTCAAATATTCGATGGAACTCAAATGAAATTAATCATTCTACTTCCACAGTGATTCATTTAAAAGATTGTAAAAAAAAATAGTTACATTTCTTTTACTTCATTTATTTTAGATGTTCATCTGATCTTGTTCATCTTTATGCTAATTTAAAAGAATATCTTAATCTACCAGTTTTATCAGCATATATTGCTGTATGTATACCAAACATATCCATGGATATTCATATTAATCTTATTGAATCATTGAAATTTTTAAATGATTTAAATGATAAACATGCTTCAGGAGAATTAAATGAAGAAATTCATTTGTGTTTGTAATCAAGTTGAAAACTTTTCTTTTTTTTTAATTTTATATGGGCTTTTTTTAATTCTAGCTGCTGCACATTCTCTAGGTCATTTTATTCTTGATATGAATAGAGATGAAAGAAAGCAATCATCATCAAATTGCTTACATTCAATTGATCTTTCACCAACAACTCCATGGATATTTTTTGCTAATCGTCCATTTTTATATTTAATTACATATGGAAATTATTATTTATTAATTGGACAAATGCTAGGTCCAAAAATTCGTCAAGAAACAAAGAAATCTTTTTCTAAAATAAAACATTAGATTTATTATTGAGAAAAATATCATAATAAAAAAAATCAAGAAACTTTTAGATTTCAATGATAAAATTATCTTAAGAATCCACAATGTTGTTAACATAAAGTAATAACTACTATTAATACTACTTGAGAAATTCCAGACATTGACAACCATTGAAAGTATTCATTTTTGACTACGATTTAGGTCGTCAATAAAATAGATGAAATTGTCAGTAAAAGAATATATAAATGATCAGTAGAAAAATTGAACGGCCAGTACTGGAATTATCAGTATTTAATTACAAAATGGTCAGTATATTATATATAAATAGCAGTAAAAAATATAAATTCGATCATTAAAAAATACACATTTGGTCAGTGAAAAACAAAGATTTTATCAGTAGAAATTTTTTTTTATTTGTATAAAGTATAGTTTAGTACGAGAAAAATAATATAAATAAATAAAAAAATACAGAAGAAATCAGTAGAAATGAAAAACAAAACATTTAAGAGAATTGTTATATCATCATAATATGATTAATGCATGTACTTTTTTTACATTTTCATCAATACCACGAAATTTATCATCATGATGATTATGTTCAACTTCAATTTTATAAACAATAACTTTATCACTATCTGCATAATATAGTGGATAAATACTTGCTTCACATTGAGACCTATGATGCTTGGCTTTGTCTGTATCTATAATAAACTGTTCTTCTAATTTCTGCATAGTTCATATAGTGTGTTGACCATGCATTTGCTACACCCACACCCTCCAGTAAGAGAATTCTATTGAATACTAAGGACAAAGACTTTTGCACTTTACTGTATGTTTTAAGTCTATTTTATTTTATTTCCGTCTGTAGACGAGTAACTCACATTAGCGGTTGATATTAGTGGAAGAGCATTTGAACAGTTATTACATAGAGGATACATGGAATGGAATGTGTATGATATCTGTAATGTAAAGAAGAAAATAAACCAAAAGATGAGTTGAGCATCTAGAAAGCGTAGTACATAACTTAATCATCATTTCGCTGATAAAATATTTCAGGAGACTTTCTTCGCTTTTTAGGCGACTTTTGTAATCCATTACTGATATTACGGCATATATTAGGTATCTTCACATTCTACGTTTGATATGAACATAAGACCTAACTGACAATGTTGTTTCCATTAAATTGAAAAAACTACGCAAATTATTTATTTATATCAGAATATGTTGAGCTTTATGATTTAAAGTATTGTCTAAAATTTTCGCTGTGTCCATCAAACACAGCTACGTAATTTTCTTCGCCATGGTCTAGCTTCTTAATTCTGAAATAAGCTTTGCAGTTTCATTTTAATGATAGATAGATTTCAAGTAAAACGAAATTCACGTTTGTTTTTGTTTGTGTGGTAGCATTTGAGAAAGTTGAGAAATCAATAGTCTAATGGATGATGTAAAAATAATAGTAATTTCTATATTTTTAACATTTCTTTCTCTTAAGTCTACTAGATTAGGCTTTTTTCGCTTTCACTGAAAAATTTCCTTTAAAAATCTGTAGAAGTGTATTTGATTCATCACTTAGAATTATTTTTATACTTCAGTGCACATCAGAAATTTTTCGAAATTGAGTACATAATGTAAAATATCCTTTTTGTGAACATTTTTATAAACCATTTTGAGTAGTACACTCCTGTTATCTCGCTCAAGAGCAATGAACATACATAATTTAAAACAGTTCATTAAGAGAAACTTCACTTATAAAAAATTAACTCAAGTTGTCACTTATCACACATTTCTGCTGAAGTGATGATGGTATTAGATAGTTAAAATAGATTATGAAAACAGTCAAAAAAGCCGTAATATTTTATATCGTGCACTTGATTTCATTTGACATTTACTTGCCATGTCTGACAGTGACAATGACAAATATATATGAGTGAATTAAATTGTTCTTTAGATGATTCAATACAGTTTTCATCAAAATATTAACGTGATAAATACTGAGGAAACAGGATATGCTGACAATAACAGATGCCATATTAAATAACACTCGTTAATTTCAGATCCAAGGAAAATTCAAATATTTTGAGATGAGTTTTCTGAGAGTATAGTTAAGATTGGAGTATTAGTTTTTTTACGTAAAGTATTTGAGATAGCACCAAAGATATCTAGAGAATATATTAAATGAGATATGTAGCAAGGAATCAGATGAAATGGGAGAAAATAAAACAAATGGTGAGGCTGAGAAAAATAATATAAAGTGACAAAAATGTCTTCAAATCAACATAATTATAACGATATGAAATGGTCACAAAAAATGGTGCGCGTTCTCAGCATTATTTTGTTATTTTTTAAAACTATTTTTTGGGCATTATTTGTGACCCTTTTACACCATTTTTTATTACGATTTGAAGGCATTTTAATGTCATTTTATCATTTTTATCCCTGCCTGAGTACTGCATCGACAAGATCATGCGCAGAGAGAGAAGAAGGTGAATGAAGGGCATAATGTGAGTGTGCTTGATTATTTATTCTGCTCATCCAAACCCACACCGGCATCTACTCTCATCCCGAACCCACATCCACACCCTTTATTTCCCTATAATTAAGCTAGTAGTGTTTACGATTGCCTCTCACTTCAATGTAGTTTGATTATTTGAGAATTTAGGAGATGCGGGGAGGGTCTAGTATGTGGGTAACGTGTCTACGAATCTCTTGATACAGTGTTCACCTACATTCAAGTTTGCATATTAATAATTTTTATTGCATTTCCTTATGTTCTAAAAATTCGTACTTCATCTGGATTCAAAAAGAAATATTTAATGTAAGTATCATATAAATAAGAAAGTTTCGAGACAACAGAAGTAATATCATCTTATAGCTACTACTGTAACTATTTTATCTAATTATATGATCAACAGTCTTTTATTCATAAAGATGAAACGATCTCAAAATCTATTTCCATATCAGTGTATCCGTGTGATAATTGTGACAATTCTATGATAGTATATTTGTATCTAGGCATTATTTGAAAACTTTTCAATATTTTTTGTGCCAGCAATAAATTGAAAAGTCAACGACTATTCTATATAAGACGGAAACAGTATCCAAAGGCCCAAACAGAACGAACTAAAATGAAGTCAGACAAACAAAGAGAGAGAAGAAAATACTGCGTCCTTTTTAAACGATTTACTTTGTGTGTTCGTTGTAACCTCTTTTTCTAATACACATACATCGAAAATGACTTCTGCTATCAGTAAATCTAATAGTCATCAAGAAATAATAATATATATGGAATGACTATCAAAAGAATATTTTAGTAGATTATTTGCCAATTCAACCATTTCTATCGAAAAAAAATTTAAAGAAGGCAAACAAGGTGGTCATATTGCTGTAGTTGACAATTATGACACTGGTGCCAGTAATGAAGTTAGACAACAAGTAACGCCATTCAAGTAATATATGATTTTCATAAAAATTACTTGTACTCTTCATGCGAAAAAGTTACGAAAATAAAATGAAGTTTGGCAAGGGCTCGCGGACTTGCTCTAAAGGTTTTTCATTCTGTAAAATTTTAATTTCGAGTATGAATTATTGTGTGAAATGAATTTTTTCATTCCAAAATCGTCAATAAGAAAGAATTTTTAAAGCAAAACTTGTTGAAAATATTAAATCAAAAGCAATTCTTTGTATTTTTGTAACAAAATGTATTCGATTTAAAATTAAAAAAATATGCTGCTAATATGTAATCATCTAGGGCCTCCTCAAAATGTGGTCTGTACCCAGAAAGATACAAATTTCATGAAATTTACAGTCCTTTATAATGATGATCCCGAGTGATATTCAAAAAACAATTATTGAAGATCCGAAATTCTTTATTGGCTTTATTATATATATTTTATTTCTTTTGTTTGAAAATACATGTTATGTTACAGGTATAACAGAGTCCTTCTTTTTAAATTGTTACTTTTCAAGCGAAGAACACGGACATATCAACGTTTTCATGCTGTAACAGGGATATTTTGCAGTATATACTACATGAATATGCAATGAACTAATATTGTTTTACTAATTTACAATATACTTTTTTCAGCACAAATTTTATGACACACCACAAGATCAATTTATTCTTACACCAACAACATCGTCATCTCGATTAGCTGATGTCGAAGAATTTTTTGTATACAAGTTCTTGTATAACATTAATAAAGCACCATCAGTTCATTTTTATGTCAATCAACAAAAACCTGATTGTCTGTTGCTTGCTACTGCTGATAGTGATACAATTACAGTAATAATAACAATGTACCATTATTAACTCGAACTATAAGTTATGATTGGTCTGAAAAAAATGATAAATGATTATCAAGTGTAATAATACCACTGCCACAACCATCATTACCTACATCAGTGCCAATGAGAATATTAATTGAAGAAATAATATTGATTTTCAAGTATGATTTAAATTAAATTTTTCTTTATTAATGTTACTTCTCTTTTTAAAGGTGACTGATATTGATAATGACGAGAAAAATCTTATTGCATCAATAATCATGTAAGAAAAGTTAACAACCGATTCGAGTATTTTCCATGACGATTCGCCTGAGAGACTAAGCCACAAAAGCAACCTCGTAACCCACCTACAACTCCATCAGCTCTGTCTAACGATGCCATCAGATTCCGCAAAAATTCCACTTGAACGCCAAAAAAACCAAAACAATACAAAACCCCCATAGGAAAAACTATCATTTTCATAAAAATCATGACGATTCGCCTGAGTGCTTAAGCCACTCTTGAATCATACGTCAATCGACTCAGAATTTCATGCTCTATCTAATGGCATATAAATCATTTCGATAAAAGTTTCTTATAACCGACTGGGTTTCTAGGAAACCTGAAAAACGATTTTTCGAAAGTATTCCCTGTGACGATTCGCCCATAAGCTTAATCCACCTTTGAAAACAATACCAATCGATGCAGAATCGCGAGTTCTNCTCTTCGTGGACAAAATTTCAGATCGAAATTCGTTGATTTGGTTTTGCAGGTGAACCAGTGCCCTAGGGCAAAAATCGAGTAAAACGGTTATAACTCAGCCCCACAGGTGCATGGGCCCAAATCCTCTTAGGGTTATTCTAGTGTCAGGGTCTCCTACTTATCCCCAAAGTATGAGCTCAAAAGCGGTGAATCACTTGGGGTAGTTCTCTCGTAAGTCGATCAAGATATATTCGAATAGTTTTCAAGAATCTTAATGAAACAGTCAGAAGGTTAAGAGCAAGAAAAAAAAACAAATTAGTTGAATTGAAAAATAATTTCTGACGAGGAAACCTTCCCCAATTGAAAGCCATTTTTGAGTTCGAACTCTGTGTATAAGATAAATTGCAATTAGGTGATAAAAATCTCAAAAGGATAAGGACTCCTAGAGGCTCGCTGCAAAGTTATAGACATTTTACTGTTATTTTAATCGATCGTCCAATATGTACAAAAGAATTGAATGACAATATTTTGACGTGAAACTTCATCCATAGATAAGCCTACTTGTAACAATATCTTTCGTCGAATATGAATGAGTTATGAGAATTCAGTATCTCGTGAAGAGAACATTTTTTTTTGAAGCTGAAGTTTTTAAAATAAGTTCAAAACTTTCAGTCTATATAATTGCACTTATGAAATGAATACTAGTTTTTTCTTCATTATAAAAAATATGACATGAATTTTTTTATTTTTCTTACTTTCGATCTTGAATTGTCACCGGTGAAGAACTACGATTATGTGTTGATGATTTTGGGTAATGAAAATCCATGAGTGGTTTCGGAGGAGATAGAATATTTGGATTAGAAAAACGTGGATGATCAGCAACTGATTGATGATTATAATTAAATCTTTTATGACGTATATGTTGTCGTTGTTGAACATTTTGTAAATTATCAGGTATAATTAAATCATTTAAATTATGTTGATGATATGTTGATGTTAAAGAATTTCGATAAGATGTTTCATTATATAGATTATTATCATATCGATTTGATAATTGATTTTTATATTGTTTATGTTGACGATTTAAGAAATCAGATGATCGTTTTTGTTCATATTGATATTCATCTCTTGATTTAATTTGTTGATGTCGATGATAATTATCATTTGATGATGATGTTCGACTTGATATCGATGATGATCTTGATGATTGTAAATAATCTTTTGATTTTGATATTGTTTGAAAAGTTTTTATTGATGAATAATGTGAATTTGTTGATGATCGTTGTCGTCGTCGATCTTTTGATTTTGAACGTGAACGTGAAGATTTATTTATTGAATTATCTGTTATTGATTGATTAGAATTACTAGTTGTTCGGCGTTTTTCATGAAGATCATGTCGATAATCATGATCATTATCAGTTGTTGGTATAGTTACTATAGATTTAAGACTTGAATCTTTTTCAATTGTTTCATTTATATTTTCAGTTTTAGTTGTTATATTTGATGATGGAGAATGTGAATCGGTTTTCATACGCTTAGTCATTGGTTCATCTTCAAAATCATTTTCATTATCATCTTTTAATATTTCAATAATTTGTTGATTATCATTTGATTGTTTTGAAGTAAGTGTTACAGTTCGAGTTGAAGAAATTTTTTTCTGTGATGATTTTCCAGATCTATTGATAAAAGAAGAAATAGACAAAACATAAATAAATAATTTGATTTTTTTGCTTTTGTTTTTTTTGGCTTACCGAGTTTTATTATTTGATGAATGTGAATAAAATCGATGAGAATTTGAATGATTTGATGTTGAATGCTTGTTTGTATGATCATTATCATCAAATGATCGTCTTCGATTATGATGATGATAATCATATGTACGTTTATGATTATTTTGATTTTTATCTGGACTTGATGATTTTGACATACAAGCTTCTTGTGTTAATAATCGAACAAATTCATCACGTGATTGATTTGAATTATCTTGTATACTTCTTGATGAATTTTTAACTAATGGTAAAAGAATATTTTCTTCTTGTTGTATATTATCATTTATAGATAATGAATGATTATCATCAATAAGACTATTATCACTTGATGATAATTCATATAGTCCTCCTAAACATGTTTTTAAAACTGTTTCTTCTGATGAATTTATTATTGATTCAGATTTTGGTATTAAATGTGAATTTGTCAATTGAATTTCCTTTTGTTGATATTGTTCAATTGATCTATGATATGAATCATTATAATTTGAATTATCAAAAATTCTATTTGATTCATTTGATAATGTACTTGTTAAAATAAAAGATGTTAATGGTTGAGCATAGATTATATCATTTATAGATGGTAATGGTGGGAGTGGTAATGGTGGTGGTAATGGTGGTGGTGGTGGTGGTGGTGTTGGTATTCGAAAACGTTCATCATGATCACATAATCCTTCAGAAGATGGAGATTCGATATCCATGTCAATGACAGAATTGATTGTTTCATCATCGGCAATCGGTTCTTTAAAAAAAAACCGTTAGTACAATCCCGACGAGAATAAAATGTGAAACACAATATGTGCTGATTTTACTAATTACAGAGAGATGATTTAATTCTATCTATTTTAACATATTTCTCCAATATTCTTTTATTCAATCGTCGAGAAATGCAATAAAGTAACGAGTAGTTCATAAAGAATAGACCTCTTGGTATTTTGAATATATCTCCGCAGCTTTGCAACATAATGAAATAATTTCTATTTCATAGGCTTCTCGAGTGATTCTCTACAAATTTACATCTTTCACTTAAATGTAACAATATGCCTTATTTGTTCAGACTCAATGGAACGAATCGATTTAAAATACATCACTTTCAAAATTCTTATTTGCATCAAGCTATTTGCGTGTGGACTTCGGGAATGATTTTATTAGTCCGAAATCAGCTGTAACGCCGTCTTCAGCAAAGTTGAATACTTCATTATTTGGGCAAATGATCATCATTCATTATTCTTAATCAATAAGACTTTCGCGTTTAATTACATAGAAGAGATCATTCATAAAAACTGAATGCAAATAGCTTGATAAAACAAGAATTTTGAACGTGATGTTTTCTGAATTTATATACTTCATTCGGTTTAAACAAATAAAGTACACTGTTCCATTTAAGTGAAAGACACAAATTAGTAAAAAATCAATCGAAGAAAAAACTTGCTCCGTTATGTTGAAAGACTGTTGAGAAATATGCAAAATACTAACGAGCGAATATATTCAACTATCGAACACTGTTCGGTTTCGTATTATGCTTCCGAGCAGGTCTCGATGAGACTAAGAAAAGCTTAAAAAATGACTATTTCAATGAAACTTTTACTGGGAGCTAGACATTTTTGAAAATTCCAAAACAAAGAGTTTGGAACTGAAATTATTTCTCCAGGTATGTTTGATAGTTCTGAAAGTTTCAACCAAAACGGATATATCTTTCTCGAGATATTCAATTCTTGTGAGAGGTTCATTCTTTTTATAGGTCACTCTTCAATTTGTATACTAAAAAAAAGACGCTATTGGCATACGATCTATGATAATCTCTGACCAATATCTGTCATGGTTTGTGGAGAAATAGTCAAAATTTTTACCTCTGTGTTTCGATACTTCTTTTACATTGTGTTTCACAAAAACAAAATAGTATAGTGAAAATAGAATCTAGACTTAAGCTGTAAAACCTACCTTTAATTGATCTAAGATTTTCTCCTTGATTTTGTTCATTATTTCCTTCTATTTGATTATGTTCAATATGATATTTTTCAATAAATATTCCAACAAGTTCAGCTAAAAGCTGTTTAACATATGGACGATTTTCATTTTTATATTCTTGAGAAAAAAAATCTAATAAATCTAATGGTATAGGTGTATTTAGTGATTTAGTTGTTAATTTATGTTCTTTTAATAATTGTCTACCAGTTGTTAAATATAATTTTGAATTAGGTAATGATGATGAATTTATTATTGATAATTTATCGGAAATTTTTTTTTCGTTTATTTGTTGTTGCATTTTTCTTTGTCGTTTTTCACGTAAACGTAAACGTATATGTTGTGAATTTAATTGTTTTTCACGTTGTATTAATTCATTTGATATTTCAATTTGTTCATATGCTAATTTATTTTCATATTGCTCTAAATCAATATATGTTTGATTATTTATTGTTGATTTTATTAAACCAAAATTAAAACAATCAATAACAGATACATATAATGATGAATAATCAGTACTATTTGAATGTTTATGAAATTTATATCTATTATTATCATCATTTAATAAACGTTCATATTCATCATTTAATACTTGTCGTATAACAAATGGTATAATTGTATAACTTGTTTTAGATATTAAACCATTTTTTGTATCATAATAATGATTAAGACGTTTTTGTTGTTGTATAGCATGTTTAACAGTTTGTAATTCAAGATAAAAAATATTTCGTGTATTTTTAATAGTTTTTAAACGTGGATCAATTAGTATTATAGAAGAATTTAATGGAATTTGTATTAATGAAGTACTTTTTGTTATTAATATTGGTTCATCTAAAGAAGTTTTTAATGAATCTATTGATGAAACATTATATAATATAGATCGTTCATAGATTAAATTTTGTTGTGATAATGGAATTGTTTCTGAAGATATTAATGTTTTTTCACGTTTTGTTCGTAATAAACGAGGATCTCGAGAATTAGTTATTTTTTGTGTAGGATGTATTTGTTGTTGTTGTTCAGTATTTGATGATGTAGATAGAGATGGATTTGAATACACTCGATTATATGGAACCATAAAATGACTAGGGTATTTTGTTTTTGATGATGTTAATGACTCAATTAAAATAGAATTTTGTATTGTTTCAGATGTAGTTGTATCTTGAATAGAATCTTCTCGATTAATAAAATTTGATATTGTTGGAGATACTATGGATTTATTCGAATGTGAAGTAATAGGTTTTACTGATTGATTAGATATTTTCTTTTTTAGTGCGAGTTTTTTATTATTACGATTTCCATTACGATGTAGAGATTCTTGATTTGATGGATTTTTTATCATATTTGTAGGTATTAATTCCGGTGGAAATTTTTCTATTAGATCATACCATAAAATAGCAATTGGTAAGATTTGTGATGGACCAGAAATAGTTTCAAGATTTTCATGTTCATAACAGAATATCTTAAGAAAAAGTGAAATTTCTGAATTTGATTTATTGAATTTTTTGAAAATTATTTTGTCACATTTGATAGACTCAAATGATTTAAAATGTAGATATATTTCTATATATTCAAGGTTAAAATATTACTGAAAAAGATATATATCTTTTTTCAGAAAAACTCCGATATAGTCTTCTATAAAATGGATCCAAGTAAAAGTTCTGCTTTGCTTGGTTGAAAATTTTCGAACGGATTTTCATAGGCCCAAAGATTTCTATATTGTTTGGTGAGGCACGTTCAGAAAGGCATGAAAAGATAAATTATCGATCAGATTAAGTCTTATGACTATATTAGTTTTCCTGAAAAATCGTAGAACCATACAGTGCTTAAAAATCTGATAATTCTGTCGAAATATATCCGAACTGCTTCAAGAAATCAAAATATACTCGATTTTATGCGCTTCAGATGTTTCTGGAAAACTTTTCAAAAACGAAAATGTTTCCTACTGATTTCTAAAGCCTCTGTTGAGCTTGACAATTTGCTATTTATAAAGCTTAGTAGATTTTGATTTTTTAGAATTGTTTTGATACATTGTGACAGAATAATAAAGTTTTCAAGTCTTTATCAAAATCTCCTAAAATCTTTTTTGCTGACTTACTACAGGGTTTCATATGATTCTTGCATTCGTTTTCCAAACTAACATGATCAAAAGATTCAGTCTGGTTGATAGTCTATCGTTGCTTGCCTTTCTGAAAATGCTCAATCAAACAATATGTAAAGTTTAAGTCTGCTGAAAAGAGATTTTGTTGATGAAAAGATGTCTGAGAGTCTGGATTATAAATTGCTGAAAAGCGTACACGATTATCTTCTCAATTAAGTAAACAAGGTCTTTTTGTTGACAAGTTTTATGAATTATTTTAAATAATAAACTTACTAAAGAATCTGCTAATAGATCATCAATATGACGTTGTTCTTTATTCATCGATTGAATTTTACAAAAATGATGATCATAATGTAATTGTGCTGATAATTGATTATTATTTACTGATGGTATTGTTGCATAACCTTTTCCCAAAAGAATCTAAAATTTTTTTGTTTTTCTTCATTAATTAAATCATTCTAGTTTTAAAAATCGTTTTTTTTTTTTACTTTACAAACAAGTAAACCAAATCTATAGAGTCCTTGAGCACCAGATGATGTTAAAAGAACATCGGGACGTCTCGATAAATGAACGCCATCTTTAGGATTACCTTTAAAAATAAATAAAAAATAAATAATATTCATATCCAATATATTATATCAATTTACCAAGATATTTTTCAATTGTAAATGATAATTGTTCACAATGAAGACCATTATTAGCAACATTTAATGCAACATCACGATAAGCAATTAAATGAAAACCTAAACGTTCAATAGGATCTTGATCTTTTTTCATTTTAATTCGTTTTTCACTAGAAGAAAAATTTGTTTTTTTTTTTTTTTTATAAAAAGAAAAATATTTAATTTTTCTATTTTTTACTTGTATAATTTTTGTAATTTTTGATTACGTATTGTATCACAAGATTTACATTGATTTTGTCGAAAATCAAAATGAACTTCTAATGCACATGATTTAATATCATTAAATAATTCAATTACATTACGACTATCAGGTTTTTCACTTATGATAATATCTTTAAAGAAAAACAAAAAATATTTGTTTATTATTCTTCAATATTATTTCATACCTTTATTTGATGTATGAGTTTTAGGTATAACAAAAGGTTTTTTACCATCTCGATCTTCCATTTCTAAAACTAGACAAAAATGAAAATGTTTCTTTTTTTGTTTCAATATAAGTCAGTAGTTGGCAAAGAGAAAAAGAGAATTAGTATCGAAAAAAAGACATTTATTTCGAATAAAAGAACAGAAAAGTAAACAATAATTCTATTGGTTTTTCTTCTCCTTATGAAATATAAGTTATCATCTATCAATCGAATATATATATTCGAAGATTGATCATATTTATGAGAATCAACAGCAGACATATGTTAAAAAAGATGATTAGGTATTTTTTTGTAATCTACCTATCATTTGTCAATATCTTCTTATTTGATCCCGTTAGCAATGCATCTCTTTGTAAATTGTTGTTAATCTTATTTTTTAAAAGGATGAAAATTACATATTATCAGACAATATTTATCCTTAAGGTAAAACAAAAAAATGAACTGTTATAATTTTCTAACAATAAGTTTTACAAAAAACAAAAATAAATAAAAAATAAAAATTTACCTTGAATACAATATAATTTTTAAATCATTTTCTTTTTTTATTGGTGACTGACTTAAACAAATGAGAGGAAAATCGTGCCATGACACAACAAATCAAATTGAGTTGGCATAAAAAAGGATTTTTGACGTGTAAAAAAATGGAACCGAGATCAATTTATGAGTGCATCGTTTTCTTCTCTTTTTTCTCAGTAAGTTTATTCATAGGTCACCATCGCAACCTTGTTTATTTTCATTTCTTTTTTTGCTCATTGTGTATCAAATACACTCGTTAACGAAATATTTCAAAGATAAGAAAAGCAAACAGACCGTTTTTTTTATTACGAACAGAACGAAAGAACTCGCAAGGATTTTATTAGTGACAACTATCGAGAAAAAGTACTTTCCAGATTGGTTGCCAGTTTTTTTTTCTTCGTTCGAATGACTCATCGTTGTATTTCAAACATTATTTTCGTATGTCATTTAAAATCTAGCGAATAAAAAGAAAACCATCGAAATGTCAACTTCAGATGATTCAGATTCATCTTTAGAATATGAAGACCAAGATAATTCTTTCGATGATGAAAATGTATGTGAATAAAAATATTTCTATTTTTCGAGTTTGTATTTATTTTTATGATGAATAGGTTCCAAATATGCTTGTTACTGAGGAACAATGGGTAAAATTAATCGAATTTTCTTCATTTAAATCTAAATCTAATGAATCCGTGACAAGAGGTATTGGTGTTGAAAAATTATGTCAGACAACTGATGTCGATTTTGGTGGACAAGAAACAATAGAAAATGGATGGATATTAAATAATAATAATCAAGAGGAATGTTTGATTGTTTCATTTCAAATACCAATATTTATTAATGAAATACATATTTATGAAAGTCTTAATCCAGGAAGTATTGTAAAATTAGAAATGCTAGAAATTCAACGAAGTAAGAAAATGAAAATAAGCGTTTAAAATAATATATGATTAAAATTAGATTAAATCAGTGACATGGTAGATATATGCAGAATAAGCGTTTTTCGTACTCTGTATCTTAACTAACGAGGGGTGTACGCGAGATATTCAACTCCAGTTCGATTCAATCGCACCTCATTCGATAGGATATACTAAGGTAAGAAAAAGCATTTAAGTGTTCAGGTTCATGGCTTATTACTAAAGTTTCTACTTAGAGTCAGGTATACCCGAGAATGCCAGAATGAAGAGTTTTGCCTATAGATAGGTTTCTAAAAAGAAACAATGATTTATCATAGGAGAGCATACAATTAGCCGGTCTATTTGGAAGTTGAATATCTTGAAAAAGGTATGTTCATTTTCGTTGAAATCTTCAGGTTAAAAATTTTCTCTCTGGTTTTCTCGGAAATACTGGACATTTAGTAAAACGGTCATAGCTCACCCTTTTAGAGTTTACCTTACTTCAATATTTTCTATTGAATGAAGTATGAATAAATCGAAATGGAGCTGAGCACATCTCGGGTACTTCCTTTGTGAGAAAAATTTTCTTACTCTAAGCATGTTCTACGAAGCTATTGTGTCATTTTCTCTTAATACTATCCTACATGAAAGATTCTAAAAGTGATAAATAGCAAAATAGTATCACGGTAGAAGTGTCTAAAGTGATGTTTTTTTCATACACTTGTACTTTGACTGAGAAAAAATTTCTAATTCTTGCTTTACCTCACTCTGTAAGATCGAATAATCCTGCAGCATACCTCTATGAGGTCGATCGTAAACGTATCTATATTAACTCACGTAAGACTAGTGATTACATTTTGTGTTCGAATGTTTGATTAAAATTGATAGAAAAATACACATATGACAGTAGCCGTGAAAAATAAATTGGATGTCTCTGAAATATTGGATGAGTCTAAATGATCTCAACATCGAGTATTTTGCAAATATCTCAACAGAAACAAATCTTATAATGTTTAATTTTGTCGAAAGTTGCGCCATCAAATTCTTGACAAGAATAGCGATGAAAATTGTCATTCAATTGTTTTAATAATGTTTTTTTATAAAGTTGAAATTGAAACACTCTTTGTTAGTCAAATGTCTTATAATTTCGAGAGAAACAAATGAAAATAACTTTAAAACAGATAAGTCCCAGTGAAATGATATAAAATCATGATTGTTCATGAAAAATATGATCGTCGTTATGTTGTTCAATTGCATGAGCGTATTAATTTGTCTCGTGTTTTGACATCTTGATCATTAATGTTCTTATTGACATGATCCCATATAGAATAATCAAATGGGTGTAAGTTCAGTGGGCAAAAAAAAAATTCATCAGGATAATTCAAAGAACACTTTCATGCAAAAGTGTTAGAGAACAGAACGACGCATATTTAATAAAATGATTTCAAGTTTAATGATTTGTTGATGGTGAGACGTGTTTCTCTCAAAATATTGAAACATTAGACCATCACATAGTGCTTTAGTTTTAGTCTTATAATAAAATCATTAAAACGATTCAATGTCATTTTTTATCGCTACTCTTGTAGAGAATTTGAATGTACAACTCTCGCAAAAAACAAATTCAATATTATAGAATTTCTCTGTGTTGAAATATTTGCAAAGTATTCAACGTTACAATTATTTTGACTCATCCCGATGTTATATAAATCCATCATTTTCGAAGTATTTGAAAAAAAAGTATTACAGAAAGTTTATTTTCACTTAGTAATTCATTGATCAATCATTTAAATGAAAAGTCACTTTGTCAATATTTTTCGTGAAGTTATTGAACAAATTATAAGTTGCACCGCTGGATTGGAAGACGTTCAGTCACCATTCGATAATGATTCATTTTTTTTATTAATATCATGAATTTTGCCGATTTTCTCTTTTTGTAATTTTTAACGTCTTTAATAAGTTTTTCGATTTACTACTGTGCTAGTTTCACAAAAGCGTTTAAACGTATCTCTAATATAGTCTACAACTGACGTTTGTATGCTAAATTCTATTGGCATTTTTCGTTGTACAACGATATATAACTTAAATTCGACAAAAAAAAAATCTAACGGGTGATCGATATGAAATGAGTAAAAATGTTTTCTTCTTTACTTATAGCACTTCGTAAAAGACATTGACGAGTCTGTTTTAAACTTATTTGATAGAGAATGTTTTGGTGTGCAAAATGGTTGACTATCCTTTTTTTCAAATATGATTTTCTTCTCCTTGAAAAACTGAAAAGACTAGCAGGTACACAATTATCAAGTTGTGATCGTCTATTATGCTCTTCGAATATCTCCTATTTTGTGTAAGCCTATTCTCATCTAGGTCGATGCTAAATGTAAAGTATTCAATAACTGAAGAATTTTCTGATCTATTCTTCCAAGACATCTGCGAGCCTTCTGATAGTATCATTTAGGTGCAAAAAGGGCTTGGAACTCACATCTATCACTGTTTTGTTTTGAACGCGCTTATGAAACTCGTGTTTTCAAAAGTCAATGATTCTCTATGAACGGTTTATTATTAAACTGTTGGATACAGATGTTATTTGCATTCTAATGTCTGTAAGTACAGAAAATATATAGAATAAAATTTAAGAGAGTATACTATCATAATATTGAAAAAAAATCATATCAATCATTTAAACTGATGAAAAGATGCTTCATGTGTTTTTTTTTCGTGACGAAATTTTGAAATATTCTACACTACAACAGTTAAGGTTATGTAATGAATATAAGATAAAAGTACTTTGGATACGAAACTATCAAGATTGAGAATTTTGAATTTTGCCATCATTGTTATTTGGCTAATTTGTTTTCCTGAAGTACAAGAATGACAGAAAAAACAAATTCACATTTCTAATGTGTATTTGTGCTTCATCGATAGATAAATTATAACAGTTGATCTAGACATTTTCGATATACGATATTTTTTCAATTGAAAAATAATTTTAAGTTTTCTGATTTCTCACTATATTCGAAATGGATGAAGATAGAAAATTAATTTAAATCACAGATGAAATTATTTTGCATTTTTGTAATCAGAGCTGAATAAATACAGACCTTCTCGAAAATTGTACTGAGTCTTTAACGACATAAATTCATCATATTGATATTAGTACTTTTCCAGGTAGAAATCGGAAAAGAAGAAATCAGCTATTTATATCATTTTCGAAGAATTTTAAAACGAACTGGAAAATTAAAGGGATGTTGATGTTTTAGAATATTTTTTCCTTTTTCAAACTGATAATTTATAACAAAGTATACAGGTGAAAACCGGTTTGATCATGCATGATTGAGCAATTTATTATACTTGAGAATAAGTCACAGAAATGGAAAGCAATAGTTTTACTGGAAGAATTCGTTTTTAATGAAAATTCATCTACAGAGGATAATAGAAAAAGCATTCGTGTAACTAAACCGTATAGTTTTTCACATAAAATAAAGGTTTTGAAACCATACTGTGATTGTAAAATTATCTGTCGAATGTCGCTTAACTCCGGCTGGGTACCAGATATATAGGTATCCAGGCTCAGTTGCGAAAAGTCGTATCCGTGTAAGAATCTACCTTTGACATTCGTTTCCGCTTTAGACACTCCTCATTGTTAGCAGTTTAAAGATAATCTCTATTACTAATTGAGAACTTTGCTTTTTTGTATATTAAGATAAATGGTGGATTATGTGGCAAAGAAAAGTCTCTCCAGAAAAACAATTAGTAACTCATAATATCTTCAAACCAATACTGCGACGATATCGCATTGAATCGAATACTATCCGTATAACTCTCGATCCAAGATACACGGATCGAATAGGCATTCAAGCTATAAGTAAAATCAATATATTAGTTTTTCTTAAAATATCTTGTTTTTTTCTTTTTGTTTTTCATAGAACTTCTTGGTTCAAATATATTTGATGTATATTTATATCATAAATCTTTATCTCAATCAATGATAAAATTATATGAGCAAACTCTTAATAATATAAATACTGACGTAGAATTTATTTTCAATGATAAAATCGTAAATGCTCATCGAAATATATTATGTTGTCGTAGTACATATTTTCGTTCATTATTATTAAATAATTTTATTGAAAAATCTCAAATCAAACCAATTGAATTAACTGATATTGATTATGATACATTTATTGAAATTTTATATTTTATTTATACTGGTACATATCATCAAACAATATCATTTGATGTTGCTATGAAATCTATGATATATTCAAATAAAATTAATTTTTTAACAGCAAAAAATGCAGCTATAGAACATATATGTCGTTATTTACGTTTAAATCATGATTTAATTATAGAAGTTTATTGTCAAGTTAAAAAAGTGTCACCGACATTTGATTTATTATTAGATTATATATATGATTTATGTTCAGAATTTTTGAATGATATATGCAAACATAATGATTTTATTAAACTTGAAAAAGAATTAATGATTGATTTAATATGTCAAGCAACTGAAAGACGTGAAATTCGTGAACAAGAAAAACTAAAACAAATGACTTTATTACACGAAAATGCAACAAATAGTGAAGAAGAAGAGTAATTTATTCCAGAATGATTTTGTTTTTGTTTTTTTTTTGCATTCAATTTTGGCTTTATTTTATAAACTTTTCTTTTCTTTGAAATATTTTATTGGAAAAAACTATTTTAAAAAAAGTCATAAAAGAAAATTAAACAAAACAACAAGATATTCTAGGAATTGATTTAAAATCATGTGAACTCAATCTTAAGCCATGATCTAAATATCAAATAACTTGATAATTATTTTCAAACTTATTAATCATTGAATGGTTCTCAACTGTATTTAGTTAATAGATAATGTAAAGAAATAATGTTATGTACTTTTCTCAGGTTTTAAGATTGAGAAAAGTTTATATAAGTCAAAAATAATTATTTTCTTTAATTTATTTTGAATTCTCTATTTTACTCTATAGTAATCACTATAATTTCCGATCCTCGATAAAAAATACGTAAACTTGAATCTTTTTACTTGATATTCAACATACAAATAGAGCTTAGTAAATTCTGATTGCAAGCATCAAGGCGAGGTCAGTCGATCTTAATGCATTGGATTTAGAAAAAAAAAACAGAATCTGGATTAGAGCAAACAACTAACTAGAGAAAATTTCACAGAAACTCTTTGAAACTAGTCAGTATTACAGGTAGTATCCAAAGATAACTTTATAAAGCAAGCAACTTACAATTGTTTGACATGAGTTTTTTTATCAGCAATAGAGGCAACATTGAGCTCTTGCATGTGGAGCGAAATGTTGTGAGTTTTGTTGCTCATTCTGAAATATTCTCGTCTGAATTAAAAAATCTATGTTGATCATCTAACTCCTTCGCTTGAGGGTCGACTAAGTTGTGACAGTTGCTGGCAACCAAGTTTTACCCGGCTCTATTTACCGCTGCTATATGAATTCAAGGGATTCATGTTTATATACTTTTTATTTCGAAATGAGATAAAGTGTGCCGAGCAGCGTAAAAATGTGAAGAGTGCACATTGAAATTCCATTTTTTAAAAGTATGATTACATTAGGTCGCTCTAAAATAGTGGGAAATGAGTCATGCATGAATCAAACTGAAAAATACCACTGATATTTTAGATGCTATATGCAATAGTTTCCTTATATGACAATAGTTTGCTTAGATTCATAACCTCTTAACTTGTTAGCTGGGCCAAGACCACTGAACGCAACTAAAATTGATTATTATTTTCTGTACAAAAGTCTAAGTTTTAGAAATAGTAGATGTCCTATAGGATTATGTTCCGATTTCTACTCGAGCTAAACTTGAGTGGTACTCGAATTCTTTGCCCGTTATTTTTTCCGTTATTTAATTAAATGTTAATATATAATATAAATAAAAGCTTTTAAGTGTACGATGTGTTCTGAAATAAGGCTTAAAAATATTCGGAACATTGATTTTTTTCTATATTGTCCGGAAAAATTTTCCAGACAATTGTGACCTTCACGTAGGACTCTAAGAGATGGTCCATGATCGATGATGTATCTATGGTAACGAAAATCTCTCTTATAAGTCTTATTGCTCTTTAGAAAATGCAAAATTTACTGGATATTATGACTGTACAAGGTACTCCAAATGTAACTAAATATATATATACTTACATTGTCGATATCTCCAACATGACTTCTCCATTTAAACGGATACTTTTAGTTTATTTCTAACTGATATGTTTCGTTGTACTGTAAAAATATCGACTGAATCAGTTAAATCAATTGAGCAACATTACCAGAGGAATTAAAAGTGGTTTGCATGCAATGCATTCTACTAAGAAACTCAAAAAACTGTACTGTGAAAACCTTTGTTCTCTTAATCAAGCAAATCTTTTGTGTCAGACTCGAAATCAACATAGATTATGTTTACAGCATTTTCTTTTGAAGTTTGAAGTTTTATACCCATTAGAAAATTCTAAAAAAGCTATTACTTTTAACATGATACCAAATAACTCGACTCACGGCAGAAGTATAATTCTAAAATTGTATTTTTTCTACACAACAATCTTTTTTTTGTAGTATTTTTTCATCCTTCATAAGTTATCATGTGTGATCATTGTTGTATATAATTTCAATTGAATATAAAACAACTTTTGTCTCTATTTTAATATTTTCATTCATATAAAGATCAATTTTATTTCAATAATCAAAATATTCTTAGACAAGGAAAATAATTTTTTACATATTGAGGCCAATCATTACCAGCATATATACATATAGGAATAAGTTTTGTACAATTGATTCGTGTTGTATTTCTTCTAAAATCTCGTGTTACAACTCTCAGGGATCGATAACCTACAGAAAGACGAACAATATTCGTTAAAGACGTTTTCCAATGGACTAAAAATTGTTCGATATAATCAATGTGAGCTTCAGTGAGATTAAGTTTAACAAGATGAGGGTATTTAATAATTGGTATATCTTGATTGTTCTGCTTTGATCGACTACGTAATATTTTCTGTTGCGGCTTAGTATTGAATAAAGTTAAACTTTGCATAAATGGAAATGAATGAGAAATTCGAAGAAAAAATTCATGTTCGAAAGGTTGTTCATCAAATAATGTTATTTCACGAACACATTCAAACAAATCTCCGGAAAAATTATTTGTTATTCTATCGTAATATTTCAGTCTATAAGGATATGAATAAATAAGACATTGACCTTTTTCAGCCTGTGAAAAATAATCAACACAAGAAATAATTTGATTATCTTGAAAATCTTCGAATGTATGTTGAATATCTTGATTTGATGCTAAATTAATTTGATTATAAAGACGAATAATTGAGCGAATATTAAACGAAAATTTATTTAATCGTGACATATGATTGATAATATTTTTCTTCAATTCATTACCATCAATAAATGTTTGTTTACCACAAACTATAAGATATAAATCAAGTTTTTCTAAATTCGACATTCTTTGTAAAAGTGGTACAATCAATTCATCATAATCATTTGTACTCATATTACAATGTAACGAAAAAAATTTTAAATTAGATATTTTTCCCTAGAAAAATAATATAATGATGAATTCGTTGGAATAAATTAAATATTAATTAAAACAAATTACCTTGTTACTCATTGTTAGATCTGACCTGTGAATCACAGAAACATCAACATGAAGTGTATGAAGTTGATTGAAACGTCCATCAAGTAAATAAAGACAATCATTAAAAACTTTCAAGGTGACATGTAATTCTAAGAGAGTTGAAGAGAAAACATTCGGAACTGATTTGAAAAATGATATTTCGAATGAATAACAACATGCAGATGAATTGAAATTTAAATATTTTAAATTATTGAATAACGAAAAGATTTGTGTAAATACAAGTGTATGTCTTATTGAAATTATTTTTTCGTCTGCAATGCCATCGATATCAAGTGATGTAATTTGTTTTTTGAACGTAGAACCGAGAAAAGATTCTTCTAAATAAACAAAAATACCAAATCAATGCATTTTTTCGAGACATACACTGTCGGCGTAGGAGCGGAGAACGACGATAGCATGACCATACTTTGACCATATTAGCTACTAAAATTTCTTCAAGTAGAACTTTGAAAGGCCAAGTCAATATTAATGTCTTCGAACGAGATATGTGTCTTTTTTGTAATGCATCAAAAATAATGAACAAAGTGTCATTAAAATGAAACCTAGACTTTGAAAAGTGAAGAAAAGAGAGTAAATCGTGAACAGGCTCATTCTTTATGAGATATTGCTAGTTTTATTACTTCATTTTCATATTCATCTGTTGAATGCATTAATTAAATCACAAACTATGTCATTGAAAAATTAATCTGATATAAAATCGATCTATCTCAAAATTTAGTGACTTTCATCGAAATGAGCTTAAGATTTTAATTTTTTCTTAATTAAGTTTTGTTAAATAAAATATATTTGTATGGCTATATTAGTGTTATTTTGTTGTTCATACGTAAATATGAACAAAAGAAGAACTATTTATTTAGAAACATGTGTGCAATAAATCTTTGAAAAAAATTGACGACAGAAAATCTTCAGTTAGCATGAGGCAGTTGCTATGTCCCTCTCGCTTGATGAAGCGCTGAGCAGTCGCACCGCTTCGCACAAAAAGAAAAATGTTAATAGATTACAAAAAGATATCTACTTATTCAATTCTAACTGTATAAATTATATCTTAATATTAAGAATATATTTTACCCTTAAAAAGAGATAGTGCAGTTTCTACATTCATATTAAATAAACCAAGTCCACATAAATTCGGATAATTTGTAGCACGAAGTATGCGTTCCATAGATGATGATTCAAGATTAAGCCATTTGATTTGATAATGTATTGCAGGTAAAATTTTTGAACAAAATCGATCAAGCATTGGATCAGATAATGGATCGATGAAACCATCTGAGGAATAGGTCATCAATAACAAACAATTTGTAAAAATTGGATCATGTACTATTCGACTGAGTCGTTTATTAACCCCTATTAAAGAATAGAGTACTTCAACCTTTAATAATTTTTCCAAAATAATCATAAGAATCTCATCTGGTAAATCATTTAGTTCAACCAATAAATGTTTCATTTTTATCTTCGCCTATATATTTATATTCCTTTTTGACATACAGATGCAAATATTTATATAGGTATACTCACTTCATTTGCTTGACCGACGTCGTCAACAAGAACAATGATGCATTTTTCTGTAATCTTAACTGACGACAAATGAATACATAAAAAAACTGACATTGTATTTCTCTCTGTTTGTCTTGTTCGAGAAATTCAATACGGTAGATATTTTCAGAATCTCTTTATTCATATTGTAATACACATAATAATAATAATAATAAAGTCAAAACACTATTTGTGTTTGACAAAGTTGATTCTTTGAAACTTAAAAATTTGTTCTATTTAAATCTGAATAAAATATTTAAAAAGATAACATGCGATAATCGTTGATGTAAATTTTTTATAGTTTTATTTCAAATCAAAGCATTTCATTAGAATGTCAGATAAATTAAAAGAAGATTCAAGCAGTTTTAGATGAGCTCGATCGATTATCGCAATCAGATTTACGATATCTTGAATCATAGTCTCACAAATTGAAAAATACTGGCTTTTTCCTATAAGCCACAGGGAATCTGAGGAGTAATTTAAGTAGAATTTCGCCCAGGATTTGTTCTAGGTGCTCCTATTCATGTTTGAAGTAGGTTACCACATGCTTTATTGAATGGCGGAATCAGATTTACGAGATCTCAAACTATTCTTTCACATTTTCGAAAATACTGGTTTTCCATCATTGGTGCCAGTGGGACCTCGTAGTAGTTCCAGCAGCGATTTCGCATAGGATGGATTCCTGGCCTTATTGTTGTTGTTACTAGATAGAGCATGCCGAGTTCTACATGGAATACATCCTGAGAGAGACAGTGCTGGAATCACTGCTTGGGTTCCCTATGACCGATAGGAAAAAAATAGTAATTTTCAATTAGCGAGAGAATGGTGTGAGATATCGTGAATTTGATTTCGCCACTAGAATTACTGTTCGGGCTTCTTATGACGTATGGCGGAAAATTGATATTTTTCTATTTGCTAAAAGACAGTTTGAGATATCGTAACTCGGGCGCTATTCAATATAACTTGTGGAAATCTACTTGGAATGCACATCAAAGTACCTGGAGTTCATCCTGGCTGAATTGCTGCTGAACATATTCATATTGACCGCTAACTTCACCTAAGTATCAAATTGCTCGTTTGTTGTTAATGTCTTAGTGATTGTCTAATTGAATTCTGTTTTATTGAAATATTTACACAACCAGGCTCCCCAATGGCAGTATCTAAATATTGGTACATAACATTTCAAAGCATTGGTGATCACAATGGAGCAGCACAGGAAGTTGTAGCTGATGTTTTATTATTACAAGTAGAACTACTTATAGTGCTGAAAACAAGTGATGTTTAAATTTGTTTATGATTTTACCATATACACATCTGTTATTTTCAAATACTCAGGGGATTCAATCCTGTTCATGGATCCTATCGGGAAAGATCAGATCCGACATTGGATTATCCTAGAAACTGACATTTTCTCTTGAAAAACCAATCGGACCTTACCTAAATTTCGTCGAAATCTTTGGGGCTGAATTCCGAACTGGATGGCGCCGGAAAAGATCCGATCGGTTATTGTCAGAATCGTTCGGAGCTTTCTTTTGGAAAATATCGAACGAAGCTGGAATGCATAACAGGTCTAGCTGAATTTCATTGATATCTAGCACCCGGAATTCTAGATCAGATTATGGTAGAAATTGGTTCATTCGATCCTCTAAGATTCACTTATTGGAACACGTCAGATGTAGCGAAATATAGTGTATGCCATCGACCGAAAGATGTGACAATTCATTGGTTTGTGGCAGTAAAATCTAAAGCAGATTATTCTAGAAAAACTTTTTCGCATCTTTTCTACTCTTACCAAGGAGCTTTGGGTGTGAGTGAAAAGAAGATCTACATTCAGATCCACACTCACCCACCCTTTGGGGTATAGCCCCGCATTTCTGGTGGATAACACCACTTTCAAATAGTTCCATCGAATAGAGAATTAAATTCTGCATGTAACACACTCAATCAGAAAGTTAACACAAGTCGTAGAGCGAATCCGGACAAGAAATAGAGGATATTTGCTATTGTTACACAGGGAAAAAGACAGTATTTCGCAGAAAAGTGATGGATTTTGCCCGATGACCCACCTTGAAACTTGTATCATTCGATAGAGCATAAAATTCTGCACCTAACACGAGTGCTTAGAGTGTTAACACAGGTAAGAAAGCGAATCGGGACAAGAAATACTCGAATCTGGTGCTAACTTTACTTAAGTTGTATAGGGGTAATTTTGGGGAAAAATATTTTTAAATAAAACACGTGTTATTCGACTCATATCTTGATGCTGATTTCGAATATCACATGTATTTTGATTGCAAACGAATTGCTGATGTCTAAAATCGCCAAATACAACTAGGATTTGTATACAATATGGCGTCATTTGGGTATGATTAGGTTTAGAGTGGGACTTCGGACAAAAAATTTTAAAATTGCGATGATATCATAAAAAAAGCTCAATATATAAGCATATTTTTGCGAAAGTTTCGCCGAGGGAGTATTTTTTATTTTTGAGATAATGACATCTCAAGATTTTGTACATTTTCGATGTGTATACCCTTGAATGGCTTTGTTCAGATTTTTTTTTAAACATTACGAGTTTGGGGAGGGAGAGGGGAAGTTATACAGAAGGATAGAGTGTTTACTGCTGATTCCAAATATATAATTAGAATTTTAAAAATCTTTTTGATGACAGAGAAAAGTGTACTTCAAGCCCATGTGATTCGAACCGAAAAAAAACCGGCGGTATTTACCGGTAGTAACAAAATAACTGGCAGTATATCGGCACGATCAGGATACGCATCTACTGATCCGCAGTCGTACGAATCTAAGAATAAATGTAAATTATCATAGGCGGCAAATTGGTTTAGTGAATCTATTTAATAAAAAATCCTCTTATTTTTATATTTAGATATCGAAAATTTTTTTTTGAGTGAAATTTAACTGTTTCCAAGAAGAATTTAAATAACGGTTACATTTCACTCAAAAACAACTTTCGATATATCAATAAAAAAATACAAGGATTTTTAATCACGACAGATTTGTAGCGTATACAAATATGTTAAACATTCAAAAAGTACACTATCAACTCTTCAAAAAAGTTTCAACACAATTGAACAAATATTAATGAAATATCATTTATAATAAAAATATTTTCATAGGTTAATGTTGCAACAGAATATCTTTGATGAAAACAACTTAATCAACAAATATTTCTTTCATAACATTTGAAACAAGACTAAGTAGTCGTTTCATTTGATTCTCCTACCTACTGTCGAAAATAAAAATGCTGAAAAGAGGTGTTCTACGATGTGAAATTACGAAAGTTAAACATCCAAATAAAACTATTTAAAAGAAAGTTGTGAAGAGTGATGATACTAAAAATCCAGAGCTGAAATGATATTACATGAAGAAGTGATAAGTACCTTCAATAAAATATGAAATGATATTGATCAATTGCCTAGTTATTCAATGCAACAATCTTTCTTTTTAACAATTGCCATAACACAATGAACAGTGGCGTCTATCGAAATCAACCAAACATATGATCTCTCTTCAAATTCTTGCAAGATGAAGAGAAAAGGGTACAATGCATTACGATTCAACAGTTGACAGTTGCCACACAAGAAAAACAAATATTCGACATTGTAACAATACTATGTATCATCGATACGATAATAATTTTATCAATGCATCGAATCTTCTTACTGATTTATCCTATGTAATTACGAAATAAAAACAAATGAAAAAATGGATTTGTGTTATAAAGGGTAATTCAAAAGTTTCGACACCTGTCAGTAAATCAATGATATGTATGACAAGCCTATATATAGTTAACTGATTGATATATGTAACTTCGTAGAGGACAATCTTGCATTTTTTTTTTGAGAAAAATTTAAAGGAAAATATTTTCAATAAAAGCTCTAAATGATTTGTAAGTTTGTTAGACTGAAATTTTGTACAAATGTCAATAATCAAATTTGGTAAAGTGTTAATCTTGTTTTCAGAAAATCGGTTTTAACCTTTGCTGAATACTACTAATAATTTTCTCATATTTTCCTTGACCAAATTTTTCCACATACCATTAATTTTTTTCTTCGCTATCTCTATGATGAATTTAATTCATATCTACTATTGGCAGTATATAATTCATTTAGCTTTAAAATGAATACTTGAATTTTTCTAATAAGACTATCAAGAAAATAAATTCAAATAGCTGCTGGCATATTAAAGGGCAAATTCCAAACTATAGACTTCATAAAACTGCTAATGTGGAAAATTTTAACAGTATGAATACTTTTATAAAAATCAGTAATAATAAGGAAAATATGACGAACCTTACACTACATCTCGGAAGCAATATTTCTTTCTTTGATGATGGAATTGAATGATAGAAAAAAAGAAAAATTCTAAAATTCTTTTTAAAATCTTGATGTTTGTTTTTGTTTCTATGATTGTTTATTTTATTCCATCATTTCGCACAATAACAATAATCATAAACGTAAAATAACATAGCGAAACAAGAAAACACAAATGATTATAGAAAACTTTGTGTCTTGATGGATTTCATTTTATTTTTCTTATATTTGATTCATTTGTGATATTTAATCGAGCTTCTTGAAGCCAATATCACTTGAATATTGTCGAAAACATTGTCGACAGATCATCAAGCCATACTAAAAAATGAAATTAATAATATATAAATATAAAACTTTATCTTGTTCATATTGATCAATTACTTTACGAATGATACCATGACCATTTGAACATACACGGCACATACGACTGCCGGGACCATATTTATGTGGATGCGATCGAAAGATTGATGAATGACCCATGATTTGATGATGATACTAATCAAAAAAGTCGAGATGGATCTAAAACAAAATAAAGTCAAAAGATTTCGCAAGGCGTCCAACAAAAAAAAAACGAATG